TCGGCAGCATACCGAAGGGATGGTCGAGCTGCATTACCATGGGCTGATGTGAAAGCTGGGACGACGAGATGTTCGAGCGCTTACCTTCGTCCGTCGCGCAATCATCCAACACTTTAGGGCAGACGTCTTTGTACTTCGGCAGACGCCTCTTGAGCTTGAGCTTGAACATCCACACGAGTTTGCCTTGGAGTGCTGCTCTTCGGTGCATTAATCTAATTTTAGTCCAGTAATGACATAGGTGTGTGTCCCGCATACAAATTTGCACATTGTAGCTTGAATAACCAATATATAACTTCTGGCATACCGTAGTGACCCCTAAAATGTGTGCGCTGCCACTGGGTACTACCAGGCACTCCTGAGCCTCTACGCGTGCGCTACCCGACAAGGGCAGATGCGGTGGCTCAGGGTAGCAAGCGCCCTCGCTACGTAGTCAGACGCTGCTTCCTGATGGTTAATACATGAACATACAGTGATACAGCAATGATACCAGGTATAGAGATGGAGTATTAATGATAAAGGACCTTTGCAAGCTCTGAACGCCGACATGCGCCGCTGGAGACGTGTACGTGAGACAAATAAATCTACTGAGAAACCTTCCCGCTTCGTTCCGTCGCAATAAGTTCTTGCACATGTGGGTGCTCCCACAGCGCCCGAGCGGCTTCATGACTGATAGGCGGGAGCGGTTTGCGGGGAAGGCCACCATAGCCATAGAGCTTCTCGAGCAGGAACTTAGTCCCAGCTATGGACGCCTTTGCAATGGTGAAATCTCCACGAGCAACGATGCCCTGCAGACGCTGCGCCTCATGAAGCAACGAAGGATCTGAAAGGGACGCGACGGAAATGTCAAACAATTTTGCACAGGCGTGCTGCAGTAGTGATATCAACATGGTTCAAGGTATGTAGTGAAAGAGGAGCTATGCGCACCGGTGCGACGTTCGCGAGGCCGATGATGGCACCGTGGCCGTTGACGGCGGTCAAGGGGAGGATGAAGTCAGCGAAGCCCCCCAGAACGAGGAACGGCGCATTTGGGTTTTCCCGCGGGTGTGATGCCGTGAAGGCTTTCTCTGAAACAGTCGCACAAATTCTTGTGAGCTTTCCAACGTTGCCGCATCTAGAGAATGTTACGGGTTTTACGAGACAAAGTAGAACATTGATAGAACACATACGTGAGCTTAACGCCACAAAGGTTGGGGCACTGTTCGGCAAGCTCGGTGATCAAGTCCGAGTCGAGATCGATGACGCCACTGGCCCCAGGATCTGCCCGACATGTCAGAGAGATGACGCAGAATGGATATAGCGATGCGCACACAGTTATAAACGATAACCGGAACCGGGCTCTTCTCCGCTACTTCTACGAAGTAAGCCTTCAATGCGTCATTCGTGAGTGTAGCAGCAAAGTATCCGCTCGTAATGACGATCGCGAAGTCGGCGCCCGACACCGCAGCTTCGTGACAAAGTTCCAAAGTCTCGCGCGTGCTGCCCGTGCCAGTGCCGGCAATAACGGGTACATCCGATAGGCCAGCATCGTCAAGGGTTTTGCGCGCTGTCCTGATGAGGGCGGAACGTTCAGAATGTGTAAGATGGATGGCTCGCCCATTGAGCCTGCAACGAGCGGGCGAACGCCGGCTTTCGCGAGCCGCACAACGTGGGATGCGAAGGACTCGAGATCTAGACAAAAATAAAATAGAATCAGGCTTACTCATGTGACTTGAGCTCAAGAATGTATAACGCACCGACATCCTCTGTGTCCGGCTTGAAGAAGGTTGGTATAGGTGCGTAGATCCCGGATGTGAGTATCCGGAAGCCGGCGATGCCGTTCACCCCGTTTGTATGTCCTGTCATGTCGATTGAACCCCACTACTTAATGCCGGTTGTCGTCGAGGGGTGATCCAGGACCCCTGACATTAGGCGGAGGGGCCTGAGGACAATCCGCATCCAAAATGGGGTCTCGGGACCCCCATGCCTGGGGCAATCCGCATCCAAAACACCCCTTGGGCCCGGGAGGGCCGGAGGAATAATCCGTACCGCGCCAGCGGCCGCTCTACCAGGCCTAAGGACCGTCCGTATACGAATTTTTGGAGCACGTTAGCAGCCTCATTTGGCTGGTGCCCAAGGGTTATATATATATATATATATATTTAAGACACTTTCCTCGTCGATATTGGTGGTTTTTCCATATGTAGTGCAACATTTAATACAAAGTGTGCCCCAACCGGGAATCGGTTATCGTTCTCGTGGCTATTCAGATCGCACCGCTGTCAGTGTTCACCTACGATAGGCAAGTAAGAATGAAGAATGCAAGTGAAGGAGCAAATAAAATATTTTATTCCTGTGTCTGTACACCTGTATGCTACTCGAGGGGACAGTCAGAGCTAGGATAGAGTCACTTTGCTTCTGTCCTGAGTTGCCCAAATTGGCATGCCGCTGCAAGCTGTTGCTCCTGCCTCCGTCAATGGCTCCTGGCAGCACAGTCGAAGTTGATTCCGACAGCGAAGCTGCCGTCGAGGCAAGCTGGAACCCCGCCGAGTGGATAGGGATAAGACAAATCTATCATGCCTCTGACACACCCGCCGTTGTACTTGCCGGTAGCCGCCTCGCGCTCACGCCCCATCTGATCATTTCTTGCGCACCCTTCCCGGTGAAATCCCGACTTTTTCATATGATCGCAAGATGATTAGCCTGAACAGCATCACATACAAAGTGTTCTATAAGCTAAACGATGCCCTCTCCCGTTCCAGGATTGAAGCTGCCGTGAAGGCCCTCGATACTTTCCGGAGGCGAGGGGAGAAGAGAGCGGCGGCGGCAGTGGCGGCAGAAGATGGTGACGAAGGTGAGACAGAAACTTAGTTTATTGTATATAGAGATGTTAGTTGTACTACAGGGATGTCTATGGACACAGAACAGCACGAGTTATTGAAGATGTAGAGGCTTGGTGACT